TCAGACAAAATAGACTTCAAAACAAAGGCTGTAAGAGACAAAGACTGACATTACATGAAGATAAAGATCCCACAAGAGGATATAATCCTTATAAACATTTATGCACCCATCCTAGGAACACCTAAATATACAAGGCATATACTGATAGACATAAAGGAAGAAATCAACAATAATACTGTCACAGTAAGAGACTTTAACACCCCACTGATATCAGTGAATAGATATTCCAGACAGAAAATCAACAGGAAAACAGCAGCTTTTAATGACACACTGGACCAGGTGGATTTAATTGATATTTTAAGAGCATTTTATCCCCCAAGTAGCATTGTTTTCCAAGTACACATGGAACATTTTCCAGGATAAACTACATGTTAGTCCACAAAACAAGTCCTAATAAATTTAAGAAGATTGAAATTATATATCAAGCATGTTCTTTGATCACAATGGTATGAAATTAGACAACAATTACAAGAAAAAAACTGAAAAACACACAAAGACATAGAGGCTAAATAATATGTTACTAAACAATGAATGAGCTAACAATGAGATCAAGGAAGAAATCAAAAGATACCTTGAGACGAATAAAAATATGACAACACAAAAATATATGGGACACAGAAAAGCAGTCCAAAGAGGGAAATTCATAGCATTACCGACCTACCTCAAGAAATAAGAAAAAAATCTCAAACAATTTAGCCTTATACCTAAAGGAACTAGATAAAGAACAACAAACAAAGATCAAAGTGAATAGAAGGAAGAAAATAATGAAGATCAGCATTGAAATAAATATAATAAAGTTAAAAAAAAATACGAAGGAGCAATAAAACCAAGAGCCAGTTCTTTTGAAAACTTAAACAAGATTGACAAATTTTTAAGCAGACTTACGAAGAAAAAAAGAGAGAGGACCCAAAAAGAATCAGAAGTGAAAAAGAAGTAACAACTGACACCACAAAAATACAAACAATTATAAGAAAATATTACAAATAGTTATATGGCAACAAACTGTACAGTCTGGAAAAAATGAATTAATGTCTAGAAGCATATACTCTCCCAAGACTGAATCAAAAAGAAACAGAAAATCTGAACAGACTAATTACAACTATTGAAATTAAAGCAGTAATAAGAAACTCCAAACCAAAGTCCTGAACCAGATGGCTTCGCAGATAAATGTTTACCAAACATTTCAAGAACTAACACCTATCATTATCAAACTAGTCTAAAAAATTCAAGATGAAGAACAACTCTGAAGCTCATTTTATGAGGCCAGCATTATCCTGAATCCAAAACCGATTAAGACACTATAAAGAAAGAAAATTATAGGAAAATATTCCTGATGAACATAGATGCAAAACCTCAACAAATTATTAGCAAACCAAATTCAACAATATATTTAAAAATCACACATCAAGTGGGATTTATTCCTGGGATGCAAGCTAGGTTTAATATTGGCAAATCAATTAACATAATGCATCACATAAACAAAATGAAGGATAAAAATTATATGATCATATCAATAGATGCATAAAAAATATTTGACAACATCCAGCACCCATTTATGATAAAAATTCTCAGCAAAGTGGGAACAGAACATACCTACATGTAATAAAAGCTGTATATGACAAACCCACAGCCAACTTCATACTCAATGGAGAAAAAAATAAAAGCAATTCCCTTAAGATCAGGAACAAGACAGAAATGTCCACTTTTAAATGCTTATTCAACATAGTATTGGAAGTCCTAGCCACAAAGGCAGACAAGAAGAAGAATGAAAAACTTAACAAATTGGAAAGGAAGAAATAAAACTGTACATAATACTATATACAGAGAACCCTAAAGATTTACCAAATCTACTAGAACTGAAAAATTAATTCAGTAAAATAGCAGGATACAAAATAAATATTCAGGAATCAGTTGCATTTTTATACACCAATAATGATCTATCAGAAAGAGAAATTAAAGAATTTTAAAATCCCATTAACAATTGTATAAAAAAATGTACCTACAGCCTGGCCCGTGTGGCTCAGTGGATTGAGCATCATCCCATGGACTGAGAGGTCCCAATTTGATTCCTGGTCAGGGCACATGCCTGGGTTGCAGACGCAATCCCCAATTGGGGGCATGCAGGAGGCAGGCAATAGATGTTTCTCACATCAATGTTTCTCTCTCTCTCCCTTCCACTCTCTCTAAAAATAATCAATAAAAATATATATATTTTTAAATATCTACAACTAAATTTAACCAAGGAGGTAAAAAGAGCTATACGTGGAAAACCATAAGATATTGAAAATACAAATAAATGAAAGCATATACCATGCTCATGGATAGGAAGATTAACATTAAAATGTCCAGACTACCCAAAACAAATGATATATTCAATACAATTCTTGTCAAAATACCAATGGCCTTTTTTAGAGAACTAGAACAAATAATCCAAAAATGTATATGAAACCACAAAAGATTCCAAATAGCCACAGCAACCTTGATAAATAACAAATTTGGAGGTATCATGCTACCTTCTAGTATATCAAATTAATACTACAAGGCTTTGGTAATCAAAACAGCATGGTACTAACTCATAGAGAACAAATTGATGATTGCCAGATGGGAAGCAGTTTAGGAGACTAGATAAGAAAGGGGAAAGAATTAAGATGTACAAACTTCCAGTTATAAAATCAGTCACAGGAATGTAAAGTACAGCATAGGGACTATAGTCAATAATATGTAATAAATATGTATGGTGTCAGATGGGTACCACACTTATCTAAATAATCACTTTGTAGGTTATATAAATGTCTAGTCATTATGTTGTATACCTGAAACTAATATAATATTGTATGTCAACTATAGCTAAAAAAAAAAAATTATTTAAAAATAACAGCTACCACTAGCATAAAAACAGACACATACACTAATGAAACAGAACAGAGAGCCCAGAAATAAACTCACACCTATATAGTCAATAAATATATAACAAAGGAGGCAAGAACAATCAATGGAATAAAGACTGTTCGATTGTTTAGTGTTGGAAAAATTAGATAGATACATGCAAAAACAAAAAAATAACTAGATAACCTTCTTACACCATATACAAAAGTAAATTCAAAATGGATTAAAGACTTAAAAGCAAAATGCAAACCCCAAACCTACTAGAAAAAAACATAGGCAGTAAAATCTCTGACATTTTCTTGGCAATATTTTTTCTGATATATCTCCTTAGGCAAGAAAAACAAAAGAAAAATAAACAAAAGGGACTACATCAAAATGAAAGGTTTTTGCATAACAAAGAAAACCGTCAACAATAACAAAAAAGACAACCTACACATTGGGAGAATATATTCACCAATGATGCATCTAATAAGGGGTTAATATCCAAGATTTATAAAGAATTTATACAACTCAACACCAAAATAAACGAACAAACAATCAAATTAAAAAGTGGGCAAAGGACCTAAAAGTTCTCCAAAGAGGACCTGTAGATGGCCAATAGACACGCGAAAAGATACTCAGCATCGCTAATCATCAGGAGGAAAAAATGCAAATTGAAACTACAATGAACTATCACCTCACACCTGTCAGAATGGCTGTCATCAATAAATCAACAAACAAGAGTTGATGAGGATGTGGAGAAAAGGGGCCCTCGTGCACTATAGGTGGGAATGCAGACTGGTGCAGCCACTGTGGAAAACAATATGGAGTTTCCTCCAAAAATTAAAAATAGAATTGCCTATGACCAGCAATTCCTCCTCTGGGAATATACCTGATGAAACCTAAAACAATTATTTGAAAGAATATATGCACCCCTGTGTTCATTGCAGCATTATTAACAACAGTCAAGATACGGAAGCAACTCAAATACCCATCAAGAGATGAGAGGTAAACACAAGTGGCGGTACATATATACAATGGAATATTACTTGGGCATAAAATAAATTTGAAATTTTACCATTTGCGACAGCATGGACAGACCTAGAAGGTCTCTATGCTAAGTTAAATAAGTCAGAGAAAGACAAATACCATATGATTCCCTTATCTGTGGAATCTAAGGAACATCACAAATGCATAAACATAGTAGAAGACACACAGATACAAAGAACAGACTGGTGGTTCCCTGAGGGGAAGGGAAGGGGGGCTGGGTGAAAAAGGTGAAGGGATTTAGAAGTACAGATTGGTAGTTACAAAATAGTCACGGGGATGCACAGTACAGCATAGAGAATATAGTCAATAATATTGTAACAACTATGTATGGTGCCAGGTGGCTAATTGAAATATAGGGGGCCACTTTCTAAAGTATGTGATTGTCTAACCACTGGACATACACCTGAAACCAATATAATATAAAATTGTATGTAAACTGTAATTGAAAAACAAAATTTAAATTTATTTTAAAATGCTGATATCATAGGCTTGCTCTGGAATTAGAGATTATATATGTAAAGTACCTGGTATATATGCACCCATTTTAACCTTCAAATTGTTGGAATTACCTATTGTTCATTTTCTCAACCAGTTGACAGTTTTTAAAACAGCCTAGAAGAGGCTGAAGAAATGGTAGAGAAATGGCGACGTGCAGACAGAGAGCCCTGCCCCACCCATAACCCTTCAAGGAGTAGGAGATGGTAGACAGCTGAGAATATTTATTTCCTAAAGGAAGTGGGGACCAGGCAATCCAACATGTCAGAATCACTAGAGGCTTTTCTGAACAAGGCGTCCCACCTCAGGCCCACCTCGCATGAACAATCATCCAGGCCTGCCAACAGAAGTCCCTCACCCCTGGAGCCCCTCAGTCCCAAGCACACAGGTCTGGGTGGTCAACCATCCCACCATTCACACTGATGTAAGTCACCACCAGGTGACCCAGTGAGGTCACTTAGGGTGTGTGGCGTCCTTCAACTACAAGAAGACGGGAGGAGCTTATAGAGGGCGTGCTGGGAGGCGGGAAAGAGAGACTATGCCCACAGAACAGGGGCACGGATCCCTCTGACACGAGTCTTCAATTTCAGGTCCGGCAGTGTAGGCAACAACTGGATCGACATCTACAACCTCGTGGAGGAAGTGGTAAAGAAGTTTGAAAAGTATGGCTTCTTCATGTTGTGGGGTGTTCTCCCCTGCCAGGCAGAGCACACAGCTGCTGAAACTCCCAGGGCACGGGGGTCCCTCAGGTCAGGGGCATGAAGCCCAAGCAGCGTTCTGACGCAGGACAGGATGGGTCACACTGTTTCCATCAGGTGACTTTGCTGGGTTCCTGGCAGGAAGTCAGATGGTAGTGCAAGGGACACAGGCTGCCACCGAGGACTCACAGACTGGAAAAGGGGCCAAACAGTAATACGGTAGCTGAACACCTTGATAAATGGTGCTGGGGGCAAAGGAAAAGGGAACTTGAAGAAAAAATAAAATAAAACCTAGAAAAAAGCAAAAACTCCTAAAAAAACAAGTTAAGGATGGCTTCACAGAGCATGTAGAAATTTGAATGGGGTTGAAGAATGGGGAGAGACAGGGTAACATCCCATCCAGACACATCCTGTGCAGTGAGTGGTCTGTTTGGCTGAAGAGTGGGGTTGACACAGAGAGAAGCTGGGAGAGCAGGCTGAACTGACGGATGGGGCTCAGGCCTCAGACATCCGTGATACCAGGCCAAGGGCTTGGACTTCCTGCTGCGAACACTAGGGAGCTACGGAAGAATCTTGAGCAAGAGTGGACTGATCACAGTTGTGTCTCTAAAAGAATAGTCTGGCAATGGTGAGTGACAAGAAAGACCAAGAGCAGTAGCAGGTAGAGCTAGGGATGTATGGTAACCATTTAGCTAAGATATAATGGAAGTAAGCAGATCAATAAGGCAGTGGGAGGGAGAGGAAAAAGGGGGTGTATCCTTGCAAAGAGTAAGACTAAATTAAGATGAGATGAAGCAGGAACACAGACAAGAACAACAGTGAAGGCTCAAAGAAATTTATAGCAGGAGACCCTCAGGGAGGCCCTCATGCAGGACAAAGAGATGCCCACCTCCTCATGTGTGCACTGTGCATGGCACATGCCCCTGTGTGTGAGTGTGAACACTTTGGGTGCTGGGAGAACAGGGCGGGGGCAGGATGCCACCCTGGCCCTCTCTTCCAGGAATGAACCCTATCTCCACACCTCAGAACCCTTCACTCCAGTCATGGGAACCACTGGGTTGAAAGTGGGCCCCAGCCCTGGCCGGTTTGGCTCAGCGGTTAGAGCGTCCGCCTGCGGTCCGGAGAGACCCGGGTTCGGTTCCCGCTAAGGGCATGTACCTCGGTTGCAGTTTGTCCCCGGCCCTGGTTGGTCGTGCGGGTGGCAGCCACTCGATGTGTCCCTTTCACATCGATGTTTCCCTCTCTCTCTCTTCCTCTCTCTCCCTCCCATTCTGTCTGTACAAAAAATGGAAAAATGTCCTCGAATGAGGATTAAAAAAAAAAAAAAAGAAAAAAGAAAGTGGGCCCCAGGTGGAAGAGTGGGGGTGGGGAGCGGGCAGTTGTCATGCACCCCCTCTACGGCTGCTCATTAGCATCATTTGGAGCCCCTGTTTATGTCATCTCACGAGGAGTGCTTTGTCCCCAGCCCAAAACAAAAGGTGTCCTTCATCACCTACTCCACAGATGGCAACACTGTCCTGGAGATCACCTCAGACAGGTAAGTGCCATCAACCCCCAAGGCAGGCCCAGTGGGCCAGGCCAAAGGGAGAGCCAGGAAACAAGGGGATCTCCCTGAGACAGCGTGGGGAGCACTGTGGTGCAGGTTGGGTTGGGCTGAGCTCCCCAGAGCCCACCCTGGTCTCCAGCGGCGGCTCCGGGCCTGCTCTGAACCTGGCTGCACTGGCCCTGGCCGCCCTCTGCTTGCAGACCATCCCTGCCCCCTCCCAGCCCTGCCTGCACCGTCCTGAGACCCCTCACACTCCCCTGTCTCAGAACAGGCTGGCTCTGAGGAGGAGCAGGGAGGGGACGGGCTGCCCCCCACGAGGGGAGGGGAGGCCTGGTTTGTGTCAGCCTGTGGTTTGTGTTCAGGAGAGAGAGACCCCAGTGGGTGGAGGTGGATGACAGCACGTGCCTGGGGGGGTTCCGGGGGGCAGAGAGAGTGCCGGTGGGGGTGGGCTGGGGCCCCTGGGGGAGGAGCGAGTCCTGGGGACAGGAGGACCACTGCCTCCTCCCACACATGCTCAGGGCCCGAGCAGGACAAGCTGTGGGGAGGCTCCTGCAGGACCCCGGGTCCTCTCTGGAAGGTGAAAGTGGGGCCCTCTCCCATGGGGGAGGGGCCAGGACTGAGTCTGGGGCCAGGGGAACAGGGACCTGTGACATCCTGTGTGAGGGAGGGGGACAGGGAAAGAGGAGTCTGGTGCAGGCCCAGGACCTGGTGGTCCCTCCAGGAGCAGAGCTGGGAAGGGGGCGGGGCAGCGCCAGGCAGGACCTGCTCAGAGGGGCGGGGCCAGGCCCCTGGTGCTGGGCTGCAGGCCAAGGGGGGACAATCCCAGCACATCTGCCCAGATGCTGACAAACTAATGTTCCACAGTGAGGTGTGGGTGCGGGAGGGCCCCGCGCTGAGCTGGACACGCCTGGCTCGGCCTCCACTGGCCCTGGGTCCGAGGCCTCCTCACCCCCTTGGCTGGGCGGGGTCACACCCAGGAGGCATCTCTCCCCCCTGCGGTGAGACGCGGGGGGGGGGGGGGGGGGGGGGGGGGGGGGGGGGGCCCTCAGGGTCCAGGCTCAGCTTCCCTTCTGAGGCAGCTGGTCCCTGTCTCACTGGCTGCCCTGAACTTCAGCCCAGCCCTCCGGCCCAGGGCCAGCCCTGCTCTCTGCCCTCACAGCAGGGACAGGCAGGGCCCAGGCAGCCTGAGAGCCCTGGTCCTCCGCGGGCACGGAAGCCTCGGGCCACTCCCCGCACCTGGGCTTGTTCTCCCGCAGCCCTGGGGCCCGGAGCCTCTGCCTGAGCAGCTTGGCTCTTCCTGCACCACAGGTGGGGGGACGGGGGGAAGGGAGGGGGCTGGAGGACCAGGAGACCAGGGTCTGTGCCAGGGGAGCTGGTGCAGGGCAGGGGCTCAGTGGGGTGACCTTTGCCAAACTCAGCCTTACCTGTTGGAGGAGTGTGCCCACCTGAGGGCCTCTTAGAAGCTCACATACTGCCAGCCACCTTGTAGGTGCGGGGTTCACGCTGCACATCCATGGTGCCCCCCAAAGCCAAGGCCGGTCGCCTGAGGCCTGTGTGCCTGAGACAGGTGAGCTCAGAGGAAGCCATGCCACAGCCCTGGGACCAGCTGAGCGTCACCCCCCAGCCCCATCCAGTGCTCCCCAGGTGGGGACAGACAAGGCCGGAACAATGCCTTCAACTTCAAAGTCACAGAAGGGCCTTGAACGGTCACTCCACTGTGTCCCCTCCCACCCAGGCAGTTGGGCACAATGCTAAACAGCATCAGGTCAGCTTGGGGTGGTTTTAACTCTCATCTCCTCATTCTACCTCTTTGTAAATTTTTTTCAGAAAATTGATACAGGACGGTCTTAGCAGACTTCGAAACGTGGTTCCTACAGGAGCAACAAACATGCATAAAGGACTTAAACTGGTACTCACTCTGCAGCTTTGAGTATCTCGTCACTTTGTCAAGTTCTTAGAAGATATGGGGTTATCACACAGCCCTCCCCCAACATTCCTTCATTTCTTACAGGCAAATCAGCAGATTGAAAATGAGGTCTCCAAAGGTAAGCAGCCTGCGCACTTCCTTATGGTCCTGTCCAGGGCAGAGGCGGGCAGGGCCTCAGCGAGGTCTGGCTGCAGACCCGCCTGGGCCACTCCGAGCGCTGAGGCTGGACCAAGCCGCTGGCCCTCTGGGTGCTGCAGGCTCCTCCTCCGTGCAGCGAGGACAAACCCACCCCCTTGACGTTGCTCAGACTACACAGGCTCCCGTGGGTGCATTCTTGGTTCTGATTAAATGTGAGGTGCTTGACTTAGAGTTGGGCTGCATGAAAACGAAAGAGCCAGGGACCTAGAACACACCGAATTCAGTTTCCTGAAGAGCTGGGTTGCTCCCTGCTCAGCACCCTGTGTCTCTGCCACAGGCTGGTTCTGGCTCCTGTTCTGTTCAGCTTCTTCCCTTTGGTTGACTCTTGTCCTGTGACAGAGTCTCCAACAGTGGAAAAGCCCAGAACCATCCCCATTTGGACTGTAGGGTCGCAGGTATAGTCAGGAAAACGCGTGGGTCTCGTGGACACCGGCGGTGAGCTGGGCACGGGATCTGCGGCCCAAGGGCCTCTGACCCTGAGCGAACCACTGGGCCCACAGATGCCAGCAGGAGAGCCCGCAGACACTGTCTGGGGCGGGACCCCGGCCCTCCACTCAGTGGGGTCGGGCTTCCCCGCCCTTTGCTCCCTGAAGGGTTAGGCTTGTCCCCTGGAGCAGCTGCGGTCGCTGTTCAGGGCGAAGGCTGCACCAGCCGGTAGCAGTGAGAGTTCAGTAGGAAGTGGCCCCAGCTGAGCTCAGTCTCCCCGTCTGTAAAGTGGGTTTGGACAAAGGCTCCCTCTTACTCTGCAGTCAGTATCAAAGTCCTCCACGGGCTCTGGGTGGCATATGTTCGGGTCTGGGCGACCTCTCCCAGAGGAGGTGTGCAGAGCACTACTGTGTCCCTCGCGGCCTGCAGCGGGCCACTCCAGGTGCCTTTGGTGACCGGCCTACTCCATGGTATTTCCTCAGGAAGCACTAATCCAGTGACGATCATCGCTCTGACCGACGGGACGCTGCTAAAAGTAGCATTTAACCTGACGAAGAAAGAAGTGAGTGCAGTCCTCACGGCTAGCGCTTTGCTCCCTGTGCTTGGTAATTTATACCCAGCACTTTCTCTGTGTAGGTTGCAAGGGCTCGGGCACTGGGGGCTGTCATTTACGGCGTGGGTGTAAATGGCTACAAAAGAGAACAGGTAATTCTGAACAGGTAACCAGAGGCATACCTGAGCCCATTTGGGGAATGTTTCAAAGGAGCTTTCCAAGGCTCGTCCAGAGGATGGCCCTTTAGCTCACCGCAGGGTTCGGACCACAGACTGCCACTCAGACAAGAGTAACGAGTGCGATGTAGAACCTGCACCCCAGAGGTGGGGGGGAGCACTTCCCTCCTGAGGCTGTGCTGCCGGCGGGCACAGGGTCTGGCCCAGGGGTCGAAGTGGCCTGAGTGCAGATACCGCCTCCTGGGACGGGAACCTGCTGTGTCCCCACCTGGCTGTGGCTCACGCCATCACCTCTCATTTGTAGCTAATGGAAATTGCAGACAGCAAGAATCACGTGTTTGGAGTGGACTCTGGATTTAGGGGTCTAAAGAAGATTATTAATTTTGTGAGTTGGGCTGAATGTGAGAAGGGAATGGGGGGTCCACCGTGACCTTGTACACCCTTTCTGACCCTCCACCTGTCCTTCGATTGCAGCTTGCAAGTAGGACCTGTATCGAAATGACAAAAGTGAAGCCTTCAAATCCCTGTGCAAAAGGTACAACGTGAAGTTGCTGTTGTAAACACAGGGCTGTGAATTGTGTGACTGTCCTGTGGGTGCTGTGGTGCTGTGAGCACCTGCCTTTGGGGTGTGCGTTGTGTGTGAGTGTTTGGAGTATGTGGTGTTCGTGTGGTGGGAGAGGTCTGAGTGTGTGTGGCGTGTGTGTGGTGTCGTGGTGGGTGTGTGCAGTGTGTCTGCCTGGAGCAGTGGGGGGGGGGCAGTGCACCTCATTAAGAGCCTGTTTTTGCAGGGTGTGTAGGCCACGTTGTGGTCTAGGTACATGCACCTAACTGCATTTTCCCAGCTGTACTGAGCAAGATGGACATGGAGCTCTGTAGAAGTTAAGGGGTCTCGCATTGGGACTGCACACATATTGTGAAATGATTACCATAGTAAATCTAGTGTTAGTATATATAAATCTCAAAACCAAAAGTCTAATGAAGAACTGAGAAAAATAGTTTCGAAAACTCAACAAAAAAGCTAGTTAATAAAATCCAAAAACACATATAAGGAAATCCATCAAAACTAACTAGGAGTCACCCAAGAATGCAAGCCTCATGCCAGATTTGAAATACCATTGCAAGTTAACATCCGCAACAGAGAAGGAGACAGGATTACCTCACCGGGGAAGGAAAAGGTGTGGACAGTGTTCCCCTTCTGCGGTCACACTAGGTGAAAGGCCTCCATCCACAGTGACACTCAGGGCCAATAACACTCCCAGCAGTTACTAGGAACTCTCTCCCTGACATCTACCTGGGACTTGACACGTCTACGTAGGGTGACAATCAGTGAGCTGAGGGCCTCCTGTAGGTTACCTCTGTGATGGGAGCCCTCCCTCTGCACCCCAGCACCCCACCCCCGAGGGTCCTGCATCAGTGAGCTGAGGGCCTCCTGTGCGTTACCTCTGTGATAGGAGCCCTCCCTCTGTACCCCACCTCTGAGGGTCCTGCATCAGTGCGCCGAGGGCCTCCTGTGCGTTACCTCTGTGATAGGAGCCCTCCGGCTGTCATGAGCTCTGGATCTGCAGACTGGAGCATCCAGGTGCCTGGCTCTGCACTGCTGAGGTGATGGATGAGTGCACTCTCCCCCTGGGGACAGCACCCAGCCACATCCAGGGGGATGCAGACCCAGGCAGCTGGCTCTACACTCTGCTCTCCATGGTAGGCTGCAGGG